GTTCACGCTCTTTAAGAGAGTGTATACACTCTCCATGCCAGATGGACAAAAAATGATATAATAATATCAGTTCAGAATTGTTTAAGGGGGTAATAGGATACTTGCATAGTTTAAGTGTTTTTTTGAAAATTCGGGACAACTTCAGGTGTTACTTTATGTCTTTTCTCTATACAAAACAAACATCAAATTCTGTTATTTTTTAGGGAAAAGAGTCAAATATGCTTCTAAACTAGTCGAAAAGGTTTAGATATACCCCGTTTAAACTTTGGTCCATTTATACCCTCGTCGTCCAACTTTTGATCTACATATGTCCTTATGGCTGTTAGTTGGTCAACTCGAAATATCCAACTCATTTTACTTTTCTTTAAATGTCAAATGAATTTTCCACATCATTTATATATATTATCACTTGACATTTATATCAAAGTGAGACGATTCATTGCTACCTCAACTATTCTTGGAAGAGAGATACAATACAAATATCATGATCCAAATATAAAAAATTAAGTTTTCACCGTTACTAAGAATTAGGATACGGGATGCTATATCATCATAATTAAAAAAGTTTAAGTAATTAGATTTTGATTACCATTGTTTAATATTTATACGTACACACAAGAAATAGCTAGCTATTAAGATGATGCAGAAGGTATAGGTGATCATTGTTTAATTTGATTTACAGACGTGATGATATTTTTTTTTATTCAATGGTCATTTTTTATATATATTATTATAAAAAAAAATATATTTTTAGACTCTTTAGGAAGATTAACATGATTTCCCACAAAAATAAAGGCGGCAATCTAGTATGGTTGAAATAACCTTATACTCCCTCTTCTGGATTATCTTATCATATCTTGGAAATAAATAATTATTGTTTAAAAAAATTAAATTAAATATTCAATTTTCATAGTAATTAATTATTTTTGAAAATAAATTTATTCTATTATGAGGGGTAATTCATTTACTCCAATTCAACATTCAAAGTATTTTTGATTAAGATTGAGTGCATACTGACAGGGACAATTATCATGTTATTAACTGATCGAAACGTTTTCTATAACTCAACTAACTCTCAGCGATGCTGGTCACTTTCTTGAAACTCATTCATAGACACTTTTTATTAGTTAGACTTCACAAAGGGCAGTGAATTAAGGGTCGGAATATGATCTCTTTCTGAAGGAACTATGAAAACTTCTATCGTTTCAAACTTTTTTTTTTTTAAAAAAAAAGCTAGGCCAAGACATATAAAAATGTTAGGCTTCAATTGATGTCATTTTCTTATTTTAGAAACTCCAACAATCACTTATTTCAATTGGACACATGAATAGTGATCACAGGAAAGTGTTTATATTAGACATATTTTGTTCAATTTTTTAAAGAAAAATTATGTGTAATTTCAAGTGTTACAGTGTCGATAAGTTAATAGTACAAAAAAATATCATCTACGTTAATTAGACATATCATCCTTAATTAAATTATTAATTATTATTTTACAACTTATTGAAATTAATTTATATAATTAACAAATATAACATTCTTAAAAGTGATCGGTTTATATTATTAACGGATGTAACACATCATAAATGCTCAACTGAAATAATCCATAATTGAAGTAACTTAATGAAATTTATAAATAAATTTGAGAGGCTATTGACAGATTAAATATGTAAATAAATAGAATTGAAAGCTGTCGGTGATTCATGTCATTAATTTGTTTAGTTTCCTTTTTGGCACATGCAAAGGGTCCCAATTTCTCTTTCATTTCATTTTATTTATTGTCGGTGGATAAATACTATACTCTATCAAGTAGTAGTAATATTATTTAGGGAAAATTGTATAAAATAGCAAATTAATAATCTAAATTAAATAAAATAGCTAGGGTTTTATTTAATTGTGCTTCATAACAAACATTATCTAAAATTTGCCAGCGTCTCTCTCTCAGGAATCTCGCTCGCCACTCTCCATTCTCGCTAGCCTCTCTTGCTTTATACACAGAAGTGTATAATTCTATTTCTGTTTTGTATAAAGCGAGAAAAAATTGTATATACACATGCAAAAATGTATATCTTCGTGTTATACACTTAATTATACAATTTACAAACATTTTACTTCAAAAATTGCAGAGAAAAAGGCCAACGAATTATACAATTGTGAATTATACAATTGCAGTGAAATACAATTTTCTCTAGCTTTATACAACAGAAGTGTATATATTGTGTTTTTGTTTTTGTATAAAGCGAGAAAAACATATATCTTTTTGCTATAAACTTATAATTATGTAATATACATACATTTTAATTCGATTCAACTATATGCAAAGCAAATTATACAATTGCAGCGAAATAGGCCGCGAATTATACAATTTAGGCCAACGAATTATACAATTTAGGCCAGCGAATTATACACTTGTATATGTATAGCGAATTATACAGTTTTTATGTTTGCTATGGAGCATAATTATGCAAAATTTGCTATATTATACAAATATAAATTTTTTGTTTGCTATATGTGAAAGTTGCCCTATTATTTAAACATCACATTAATATTATTCCAATAATTAACACCCTTTATCAACAGTAATTTATCATAGTTAATTAACTACTCTCAAAGTTTCATCATTTATGAAAGTATATTGTTCTTAAATCTTTTGATCCAATACATCACAACCTCTTAAAATTTCAGATATATATTTATATATAATAATAATAATTATAAAAATATTATATATATTTTACGTAATTATCTAACAAGCTGATAAATTATATAACACACATATTTTATCGTATGCCTTTTCAATAATATAAATATAATTTCAACTCAGGTCTAAACTAGAATGAGGTGCAATTGTACAAAATTTTGAGATTTCAATTCATGTTCAAACTCTTACTAGATCTCAATGTGAAAGATTGAAAACATTCTATAGTATCTGATTGAATTTTTTTTTTGTTTAAAATTATAATATTTAACTATCTCATATATAAATTGAAATTTGATTAAATTTATATCAAAAAATTACATATTTAGAGTAAAACGCTTTCTAATAAAACTGACTCCTTGCTAAATTTGAATTTGTACCAAGAAAGCTAAAAAAAAGACTATTTTTGACCTCTTTGATTAAAAAAGAAAGAGCACTTTGACACTATCAGGATTAAGTTTTACCATTAATTTGTTTAATAACTACCTTTCCGATGTAATAGTATCTGTTTAGTGCTGTTGTTATCATTTCTTGGTAATTC